GAGAGCTATCAGCTTGGTCTATCAGAAGTCACCCAGCATTTTTAAATGGGAGTTTTTAGTGCAGGCAGTGCCTTTATCCTATATTGTCAAGTACACGCTACAATTCTAAAAACAGTAAATAAAACAGTAATTATCCTTCCTCATTCACTGGTTCATAATTCTCAACATAAAGAAGCTGCAATGACTGAGCAGTGGAAATTGCTGCAGTCCCTCAGGGGCTTTTCAATTAGAAAATCTTCCGATCACTTGGGCTGACTACACAGATCAGGTGCCGAATTCTGATCCTCAAGCTACCACAAGAGATGGCACAACTCCCTCTGGAAGCAAGGCTGGGCCTAAATGCGTGCAAATCCCGGGGTCTGAAGACTATGGAAGACAACAGACTGGAAGACAAAATAAAAATGTCTGCACTGAATCCTTTCTTAACCAGCATGTGAATGCCTCATGAATCAAGCAGTGTTATAATTCATTACTATGAGGAATAAGTGTTGTAATACACCTTCTGTATGATTTGGGGAAATGTACACACAATTTATAAGTTTTGGTTCATGTTACGGAATGATACAATTGCTATAGTTTTGTATACCACTGTAAATACGTATCTGCCTTTGTTGATCAGGATTGTATGACATTTTTCCCTGGAAAGATGTTAAGGGAAACCAGCAAATTTAGTGACTGGGCTTTGGCTATACAACAGGAGTACTGAAAAAAAAAGTCAAACTAAAAGTATAACCTGGCCTTGTTTGTAGGGAAGAGAGGATAGAGGGTAAAAACATACAAATTTCAGGTTAAAGAGGGAAAGACACTGGTAGGACTTTTAATGGACTGTAAGACACATACTGAAGGATTTAGCCAGGAGAAAATAAAAGATAAGTGTGTTTAGCCAAAGACTCTGTAGCTCAAGGGCAAACCAGAAGGACCATGTTCCAGACACAACCCAGAGGGATTAAAACACCTGAAGTGGGTAAAACTTTTGGGGTCTGTTATTTTAACATAGATAATAAATGTACTATTTCATACTGTTACAGTAAAGGACAACACTGGCTTCAGAATTCCTACAAGTGTTTTTGGGCATGCTCTCATATCTGTCATGGTCTCCCTCATGGAAAATCTCAAGAAAAATGCCCAGGATTCTGGGAAATTGTTTGTAACCTTAAGTGAGATCTTGCAATAGCTGCTCAGTTACATTAGGCAGTTGAACAGTGGATTCAAGCACAAGGGTGAGTGTGCTAAAATATGAAACTCTTTCAAGTGTGTTCCTGAGACCTGAGCGTTGGGGCAGTAACCAGATTCTGTTTAATATCCAAAGATACAAAGCACATTGGATCCAAGGAGTACAGCTCAAAACTTCAGTATGGCAAGTAATCAACTGGAGAGGGTAACCAGGTCTCTAACAAATACTATTCAGATTCTCATTTTAAATTGTTCGTATTTCCAGTTCAAATCGTATCAGGATAAAAGGTTCTTTTGAAAAATGTTAGCCTCAAATTCCTTTTGATGAAATACAAAAACAGTATAGTGGTAAGCCACAGTGGGGATTTTTCAGTGATAGCAAAAGGACTTCTCTTGTCACCTGAATCTATTATTTTCTATTTATGAGAATATTCTGATGTTACAGCTCAACTTCAAAGCTTCATTAAGAGCATATACAGGAAGCACTACTAAGCAGTCAAGGATTAAGAAACAGTAAACTTACAGATGCCCACACATCTCAATGAATGCACATCTACCAGTTTACACACCAATTTCATTGGCACATGCTGCATTCAAATAACAATAAACCTGCTATTTTCTCTACAGCCAGAGGTACTTAGGAGTTTACTAAATTGGACTCATTATAATCCAAGGAGTTTTGTTTAACTTTTTATGCAAGCCTTTTGCTCCCTAAAATATTTATTTTAATAATTTTGACAAATAATTCAGGTTTTGTTTTTGTTTTGTTTTTTTTTTTTTAATCTGTCAGACAATTTTTGTTATCTGGGGGCAGAGTCTTATAAATTAGTACATGCTGACCTGGACAGGGGCACAGACCCAGAACTTCTGGTCTCTCCGCAGTTAGCTGGATGAGAAGATACTTCAGGCCAGAAGCCCTGCAAGTTGTGCAGCCCTATGTCTCAGCTGCTATGTGCTGGCTCTCAGATAAACCTGGTCGAATCTATCTTTGTACACATGACCTAAGAAAAACTCTCTTAAAGCTATGAATGTAGATGTAGTTGGGATTTTTCTTCTGTCAACTTCTGACCATTGTGACCACTCTAAAATTTAACACAATCTGAAAAAAAACCCCCTGCATTAAAGACTTTTACAGTCTTGGGTACTAACAGTTTATTTCCCTCCTCCTAGGGCAACTGATAATAACAAAAAAAGACTATTAATAATTTACATTATTTTAAAATGTTGCTTGCCCCAGGTAAGTGGAATTTTGCAGAATAAATATTAACCTGGATTTAAATTGAAGTTGAAAGAATGAGATTTTCAAATATCTGCACTCAAATGATCTGCGAATACCGAGAAGTGATTAAAGAAAATCTTGTTAACTTCAGCCAGACCAAAGACTTAGGTCAACATCGAGATCTTTTAACTATCTTGTAAGTATCTTGCAGATACATATGCATCATCAGTCCCCTAACAGAAACCAATTTTTTTTTTCCTACAGAGAACAGTGTTTATTGTCACTGCACTTTCAGGTGCTCTTCAGTGTGGACATAGCTAGTTGCTAAACACACTAGCAAGTTGAATAATTTCAATATTTCCTTCGTGAATTGACTGCAGAAGCATATCATTCTTTTAAATGGTCAATCCTTAAGTGTGAAGCTTTTACTTTCTACTGATTTTTTTTTCCTAGAATAAACGTTTCCTAAAACCCCAAAGTAACAGGATTGCAAACAGGAACCAATGACTACCTGAAGCAACATCAGCTTCAGAGAAGACAAAGAACCCACCTGTTTAGTATAGAATTTACAATTTTTCCTCCAATAAATGAAGATGACTTTTTTTTCCCCTCAAGTAAGAATTTTGACCAGATATTATATTCAATTCAGACCAAGGCTAACATGTTGCTCACATAACACATAGCAAGTCACGTAAAGATATGCAGCAAGTGTTTAATCTTCAGTGGAAAGTCTAGTGGTTAACCATGCAAACAAATTATTTAACATTTTCCTCAGGAATCACTGCATTTCTATCTCAAGTGGTTAACATCTGTGTGTCATTTCAGTAACACATAGTTATGGTCAGGACATCCACAGTCTGTATCCCCTAAAGCAAAAATGTGGAGGTTGATGTTCTAAGGCACTTGATTCAACCAGACTAATAAATTTTCCTTGCCCTGTAGATGATCTCACTGAGGTAATTTAGACAACCAGAGCTGGAAAGCTTACATTCAGCTAAAGGAATCATGAGTCTACAGTATGCTTACAGAAAAAGACTGTGGGTAGCAACATGCAGATTGACAAAACTGCTGAAGAAATGCAATTGCAGGAAAAATAAATATAACATGGCATGTCTGTAAAGAGGCATCACGTACAGGAACAAAAAATAAAAGTAATTTTTCCTCTGCCTATGAGGCCAGTGATAGTTTTTCCAGTGTCTTACTGGAAGACCACTGAATGGCTCACAGTCTTTCCCATTAGGAAGATACAGACAGAAATAGTTGTGTAAGACAGTAAAGATCACAAACACACATGCAAAAGCAGAATAAAGCCAACAGGATAGGAATAATAATAGAAGGTGAAAATACAACCTGTTTGCAGCAAATTAGGATGGCATATCTAGGCACAAATTACATGCACTAACTTAAATACTCATCAGAAAAAAAATTCTCAATGGAAAGATGAAGTACCTTGTCAAATAATCCATCTTCGGACTTAAAAGTCATTGATGCTTTGAAATATTAGGTTGGTGTAGTGATTACAACTGAATGTTGTAATCCCTTACATGGCAGAAAACACTTTTTGCAACTTCCCTTATGCTTAATATAAAAAGCAAGAATAAAAGATGTATCAAAGATAATTTACTTCTGTGTTTCCAGAGGCAGACCAAAAGTAACTGAAGGGTTGAGTGTAAGAGAACAGGTTTGTTTATTGCTCTGATAAAACTGGTAGTGGCACACAGCCCGTAATTGCCTTTGTACAACTCTCCTGCGACAATCGCTATTTCAGTAACTCTGGGTTAGCAGATAGACTACTTAATCCAGGAAGTCTTCTCCCTGTCAGTGGAACTTCTCTGAAGCTGTAAAGAGGGTGGTCCACATTGCCCAAGAACTGCATGACAGGATCTTCTCTTACGACACTGTTTCTAATAATACTACATACTTCAGGAGCAAAATCCTCCTCTTAAATCTATATGATAAATTTTGATTGGGGCAGTCTACTCTTCCTATTGCTATGAATGTAAACTGAAGCTTGCAGTGCATGAAAAATCAAATTGACAGTTATCAGAATTTGAGAGAATCGCTCCCTTCTTTGATTTTTTTCCCAAAAGTTAGTACCAAAGAATCTGCAGTTGAGTATTTGTTCCTCATCTAGCCATTTTGTTTTGTTGACCTTTTCTAAAACAGAAAAGGATCTATGAAATACCACAATATATGATAAATTAGAAAATGGCATCATACAATTAAAAAAAAAATCTAAAGGAAGTAAAACTTAGCATGATTTATACTTAAAACAGAGGAGGCTACTACAAAAATGTGCCATAGTAGCATACAGATTTCAATGCAATTTGTAGATTTCCTGAAGAAAGTATGCACACCATCATTAATCTCACAGGCAGAATGTGGCAATATATTATTTACAAGCAACTCAAAGCTCTCTTATTTAACTTACCAAAATGCTAATGCTGCAATTTCCAAAGAGATTCACATAACTTACACACCCAAATCCCACTGAAATATGAGCATCCAGTTCAAATTAAGTTTTTGAACATCTCTCATTACAAATTCCCCAAATCCCAAAATGCACTGTAACTCCTTCTGCCAAGATAGGTTTTCATCATTGTATCACCTTTCTCACAGAGCTCCTCCATCACTCTCCAGGTTTCAGCTTGGACCTCTTGATTGCTATTACCTGGAATATGTGTATCAGGCCAGCGTATTAAATAAAAAAGAAACAGAACCAGACTACTCATTAAAGTGTGCAAAAAAACCCCCAGAATCAAACCATGTGAAACAGCATTTTCCCTCCATAATACCCCCTAACATATTATCATCAAAATAGTTACAATTACTACTCCATGATCATCACTGTATACATCCATTTAGTTTTAATAATGTGATGTTGTAGATTTCATTTAACAACTAAAGGTAGCAGAAGTTGCAACATGTGCCACAGGTTTAGGTCACTGTAATCAGAATTCCATGGTCACATATGCACTTAAACTTTCAACACACAACAAGCCCCATTTAAATCAAAGCAATTTTGGTCACTGGAATTAAGACTGGACTACTGCTGAAGTGCTACAAGTCTTAAGTTTAAAGAAGATAAATATGTTTGGCAGTTCTATAGATATTTTAAACAACCTCAGCAGTGGGTCTGCTTTTTTCCTTTCTAAAGAATACTTCCATTAATGAATTTCTGTTGGAAATTACAGCACATTCTGTCATGCAGGTTTTTTTGCTAAAATTTTGTGCCAGCATTTGTGATTTTTTTTAAGCTTTTTAAAAAAATATTATTTTTAAGGGAACAGAATCATGCTTTACTACATTTTATGAAATGTTAGCACAATTTCAAACACAATTAAGATTTAGTGATGAAATTATCCAAGCAGCTATTGAAACTGGCTGTCTCAGGAAAGCTTTTTTTTGGTGTTGTCTCCACACAAGACTGTCCTTCTACTGAAAAAGGAAGCATTTCCAACATAAATTAAAAATGAGAAATTCATATGTATTGGACTCAGAGTTCCAAATCAGGTTATCTAAATTTCAAAAATTATAGGATCTAATGCCATTGTAAGTTTGTAGACACTGCGAGACATTCTGAAGGAGAAATTTAGGAGATACTTTGAAAACAACTACATTTCTATTTAAATTCTAACTGCAGATTAAACAGGTAACTGCAGGCATCCCAGTCAAAGAGGTGTTGGTCTTTGCCGCATCACTAGTCTGACACAAAACAGGAAAAGAAAATAAATGCATGACTGAGATGTGCATAATTTTAAGTGCTTTATAATATTCCTCTTTTTTTGGCAGTTCAAATATTGAGTTAAGGAATAAAAAGACAGACTCGTTTGCAATGAGCAGAGTTATTTGTTCTTTGAATGCACTGCATCATTCATTTACAGCACCTCTTTGTGAAAACACAGATCCTCTACTATGCCTTTTTTCATTCACATTTAAGGACTGCACTAATGACTACTATACCACTGGGCTGGTATATTAGCTTTCCACCTCTATAAATACAAATTCAACCTTGATTTAAGAGAAAAAGGTAACATGAAATTCACTATAATACACCAGTCCCCATTTGGGTACATCATTGCAACACTGTTAAAGAGAGTATTTGCTTAGATTAAGAATCTAATTAGAACAACACAGAATTTTGTACAGTAAGATACATTACAGATGTATCAAGGAAAAAATTATTTTGGGTGTATCACAAAAATCATGAGCTAAATTTTTACTTTCTTGTATCAATAACCCATCAGACTTTTAAATACAATTGCTCAGACAAGCAAACATCACTCATATATAATGATTTGCAGCATCTGGATTTATGTCACGTTTAAAGAGAGAGTTGCTCATTCTTTGCCCTTATATACATAAAATCCACTCCCAATTTAGAAGAGTAAAAAACCAGATGCAGTCTTGCTCATCACTGATCTGCGAATAATTACTTCTTCCCTAATTGCTCTGAAAAAAGAAGTTGTATTTATTAAGAATAAATACTAACATAAGGTATTGGAATAAATACCAATTTCTGGGACATTTAAGTGAAAACTAATAGTAGGATATTGATCAGAGCATTTGGTAAGGTTATGTTCAAAGCTCAGGACTACTCTAATTCTGTTGCCAATAAACTCTCTTTTAAAATTTCCACTGACTGATATTAGATGCAATCCCAAGGATTAGCATTAGGAATTGCTAATATCAAGTGTTCCTTTTAAACCAAAATTATATATGCCATTGACAGTACTTACTGCATAGAGACTGGCATGTTTTAATTTAAGCTTTTTTGCTTGGATAAAGCTAATGTCATAGGTAGGTCGGTGTAAGTTAGTGGTATCTGATGCCTACCTCATGTAAAAATGGAATAATTGCATATCTTTAATTGCTGCTTGTTATGTTCTCCAAATCAGACTAAGAACTGCTTAACTATGCAAAAATGTTGTATAGCACCACCAATAAATAATCATTAACTTCAGCAGAATTTCACCAAAATCTACTTTTCCAAAAGCCTGAATAATCAGTTAGGTGTAACAGTTTGCAAACTTTCACAGAAATACCCTCATAACAGCTTTCCGCATATAAAGATGCTTTGTACTCAGCCCAAGAAATTGAAGTACTCTTGGAAGAATGACTTGTAACAGATTTGATAACCGAAAGATCTCTGGCATGGATATTTAAAAAATGCAGTATATCACCCTTCCCTGTATTAGTGCCTGAGACCTCTTCAATGCAAACATGATCAGCTGTTCGTCCTTTATTTTAGAAAGGTGATGTTATCAGTTATGTGATGTCCATATCATCCTATTGTTTATTTTAATTTAGGTGTTTTGTTGAAATAAAAGTTACTTCACAGTTAGAAATACTCTGGACTGCAAGAAGCATTCATGAAAGATGTGGGGCAAAGGTACCTTATCTCAGAGATAAAGAGTAGAATTGTCTTTCTGCCAGTCATGCACAAACCACCCCAACCCAGCTAGAAGCAGAAGAAATACAATGTACCTTGCAGTAAGAAACAAAGCTGCCACTCTATTTAAATAAACTAAGCATATTTAATTTTAAATTAGGATCTGCTTACTTCTCCTGTATCTGTTAGAAAACTTAGGCCAATAAAAAACAGTAAGCACCTCACAAACCAAGGTCTACAATTTCATCTTCTTTTGTACACACGTTCACACCTACACACTTTCTTTTGCTTAAAGTATTTCCCCTCCTGGGAGATTACATGAACACAAACACTCTTATTTTCATTTTGGAGGCAAGAAATTAGTTTTAAATTATTTATCAAAATAGCTTATGGTTCTGGTAATCAAGAAACATGCAACTTCATCACTGGAGGTTTTTAAGAACAGACTACATTTTCATCTGTTGAGAACAATGGGGTTGTGCCTTGTAGTGTGGGATCGATTAATCAATACCTTGATGTTTTCCAACCATGTATTTTTAAAAAATAATCCTAACTCAAAACAAAATACCCCCAATGATTCACAGTATGAGGATGCACTTGAGAAAGAAGAAAAAAACCTCCAAACATTCACAATCTAATTTTGTATTTACCAGCTTTTTAAAGCATCCTTTACACACAATCAAGCTGTAGTCTTGCAGTGGTAAGTGAAAGCCTGAAACTGAAGTTCAAATGTCAAAACACAGTGCTGCAGGAAAACTAAAATTAACACATGAACTACTTTCACACATCCATTTAAAATAGAGTGTTTTATTACTTCTTAGTGGTTGCAGCACCTACAATCAACACAGTTCCTCTTAACTTAAAAGTACAGGGACATTTTAAACATTTAAAAGCCAACAGCATGTTGGCATGGAAATAAAAGTTTGCAACTCTATTCAAATTCCTAATACAATATTAAAAAAAAAAGTCAAAATCCACTAAAACAAACCTAGTTTTGCAGAACAAGCCCTGGCTCATATCAAACCTAAAAGCAAAAGTATATTTTTCAATGTTTTGCACAGTTATCATAATGCAACGATTGTATTTTCCCTGCTTTTCTGAATCATCACTGCACTTAGTATGTACATGATATATTTTTTTGCTCCCACCCAATCTTTTTTTGTGCTGTTTTTTTATTCTATCAGAACAAAGATCAACGTGAAGCAACCTCCAAAATGTTCTGAATTAATACACAGTCTGAACTGGGTGTATTATCATAATTCATGTGATTCATCTATTACACTAAATATGCTGATAGAACATTTGTCCAACTCCAGTTGGGTATTTGTGATAGGTTAGATTTGCCTGAACATGACAGACTCAGAACAGAAAAAAGGAAAATAAAATTGTATATGAATTCAGTAACCCACAAATCACATTCAAGAAGTTACTTTGGAGGTTTGATCCAAATCCCAAGGAATGTATTCTGCTACTGCCAAACCTGTGAGATTTGCTGCCATTTCATATTGGTTTACTGTCACTGCTAGTTAAGGACCACATTTAGAAAATGCAAGGAGCAGAATATCTGTTACAACCACTACCCACAAATAATACAAATTTCCAGCTTCTCATGGATATATAATCTACTGATTCAAATAAAAATCCTGGAACATTGCTCCCCTAATACCATTTGCCCAAAAAACGTTTATCAAAAAGCTTTCATAACAGTATTTTACATGGAACACTTTTTCTCTTAAAAAGCTGTGACTGCTTTCAACAGTTAATGTTTCAACAGCCATTCTATATACTGCTAATGCACAGATTTATCAATTCCTGTTAGATTATTTCCCAAGTCTCTAATTCACTCTGCATGGAGGGACTGTGTAGCCCATAAGGATCCTCAACAAAATTAACAGGACCTTCCCTGGAACAAAGAGCTTAGCTGCACATTTAGCTGCCAGGGCTCCTACAGCTTTTTCTTTTTGCAGCCTTCTGAATGGCTAACTTTCCCTCCAACATAAAGGTCTACCATCACAGATATATTATTTAGGATCTTTTAATTTTCTATATGAACCATGTATCTTTATGGAAATGCTACAAACCCCCACATATTTGGTTAATATCATATAATGAAATCAAGAAATTCTGATTTAGGTACCTTTCACATACATTTATTTTACATTCCTATTCCACAGAAAAACTGCCAGCTTTAACACGTTTGTAACTAAAGAATTTCCTTGCCTTTCCTAAATAAGCTTGGACACAAATTGTTCTGTTATTGCCAGATCTCTTCTTGTCATGGATTTCATGTCCTCTCTATGGTATACACTGGCCAGCAGAAAAGGGACACAAAATGCAGGCATGAATGAAAACAGCTAGCATATCTAAGCTTAGTTCTACAAGGCTATGACCATATTTTCAAACAAATCTTCTGCATTCTGGTTACTTTTGTTAGACTTGTGATAAGCCTCAGTTTCCAACAAAAAGCTCTTATTCTAAGCATTCTTGAAACACTTGAAAAGTTCATGTCTCAAGATATTGCCACTTTTTGCTTGAAAAATCCTTCCAATAGCACCTTCCAGCTGAGTGCTTTCAGACAGGAGGTACGGGACTCCTTAAAGCATGATGCTTTCTATGAACTCCATGAAACACACCATGTATTGTACCTCCTCTAAGGGTCTACTTCACCAGCATAAGCACTAAACATAGCACTCAACCTTATCTCTTTCACACAAGCGCAGATCATACTGTGTTAAATACGGTCTGTGGAGCTGATCCAACAGAGATTAAGCTCAAGCAGCCAAAACCGTTACTCCACTTGCCATCCCATCCTTCTTGTGGAGGTCACCATCCTCATTGACAGGTAAGTGAATTTCATGTGAAATATTTTCTAAGCCATCACAGTTTACAAATCAAGTTAAAGCAAGATGAAGCCAGCATTGATTTAGGTCACTGTGTCAAGACTAAGTGGTGGTTCAGGAAGAGCTTTATAAATTTTTCAGACATCTCCACATCAGTGGAAGAAAGGTGAAGAAGGAGGGAAGATGGGTGAGGATATTAAAAAACCCCAAACAAACAAAGAGGAAAAAATCTAGTATGGAGGCAGATTGCACAGGCAGTTGTAATATTCCTTAATCTGTTTTAGTAATATGAGCAAAAGAAGTCTCAAGAGCTGAGCATATCTGACAAACTCAAGTTCTGTTTATGCCAGTCTAAGAATTCACTCGCATGGTGACAGTATTTGTGCATTTCTTGCTCTCAGATATTTTTTTCCTTGTTTCACATATTTCTGCTTAGCAGCAATATGTAAACTGAGTATTTGTGTGACCACCTACTTTAATCAGTCTACTACCTGAGAAAATAAAAGCAAACTGCAGTACTAAAAGGAATCACTGAAAATGATTTCCTGGAAGCCAGTCAAGTTTTTCTCTCATCGACATTCAGCACCAGTGTCATAGCAAGCAGAAGAAAAAAGAAAGCAAACACAAGACATAACAAGCAGAAAGCAGAGAGGAAGAAACATGATATTTCTTAATTTAGAGAAGAAAGTCAGGGCTTGAAACTTTGTTTATGAAAGTCTCCTTGTAGTGACCTGTATTTGCATGGGACAGACAAAAAACAGATTTTAATTCATTTTGCATTATTCTGTACCAGTGCAGGAAGTTAAGGGATACATTTCCAGAAAGAATGAAGCCAAAGAAGTGCATACAAATATCTGTCTTTAACAGAGATAGGTTCCCCCCCCGCCTTCATCAAGCAAAAAAAAAGCCAGTGAATACAGTACACAGCTGCCATTAATATTATATGCCATTAATTCTGCAAAATCTGTACTTCACAAAAGCTGTTTAAAAGTTTATTTATTAGTAAGAGATGGACAGGGTGAGGAAAGAGAAGCAAAATGAGGCTTTTCAGGCACTGACAGATAATGTCTGATAGTTAGGTCAATTATTCCTTGATTACCAGCATAAACACTACCTCCACCAGTGTCATTATTTTAGATTATTACTTTAAATTCATCTTCCTCTACATCCACTTTCTTTTCATTGCTCCAGCTAGGGAACAAGCAGCAAAAGCATTTAAAAAAAAAATCATGTTTATTTTTATCAGGTACCTCCTCTCCTATGACTTGTTGCAAAGAATTAATTGGCGTCATTATTGCAGCTCTTTGCCTGTCTGGTAAGACAGTAACAATGACATCTTTGACTACAAGAAGTTTATGATCAGGGTAAGTTTAAAAGTGCATAAGTCTAATTCAGTGTTAATTAGATTTAGTCTTCTAAAGTCTTGTAGGTACATTCAACATTTTCCTCAAAGTATATTGCATGAGACAGACCAAACCAAAGGCAGTTATTCAGAATTTTTTAAAATTAATAGACTGTCCTGGTTTCAGCTGGGATAGAGTTAATTGTCTTCCTAGCAGCTGGTACAGTGCTATGTTTTTGAGCTAGGTACGAGAAGAATGTTGATAACACTGATGTTTTCAGTTGTTGCTAAGTAGCATTTAGACTAAGTCAAGGATTTTTCAGCTTCTGATGCCCAGCCAGCAAGAAGGCTGGAGGGGCACAAGTAGTTGGGAGGGGACACAGCCAGAACAGCTGACCCAAACTGGCCAAAGGGGTATTCCATACCATGTGACGTCACATCTAGTATAGGAACTGGGGGGAGTGGGGGTGGGGGGGATCGCTGCTTGGGGACTAACTGGGCATCGATAGGTGGGTTGTGAGCAATTGCACTGTGCATCATTTGTATATTCCAATCCTTTTATTATTACTGTTTTCATTTTATTAGCATTATCATTATTAGTTTCTTCTTTTCTGTTCTATTAAACCGTTCTTACCTCAACCCATGAGTTTTACTTCTTTTCCCGATTTTCTCCTCCATCCCACTGGGTGGGGGAGGAAGTGAGTGAGCGGCTGCGTGGTGCTTAGTTGCTGGCTGGGGTTAAACCACGACATATACCTACAAAATAAGTTTTAGAAAGGACTCCCATTCCTGAGATTTAACAGACTGCAGAAGAAATGTGGCAGTTTTGTCACCCAGTTACCAATAAATTATTGTAAAGTTTATGAATTCTTGTTTCATAGGTTTTGGGTGTTTTTAGCAAAATATACAACTCATGTAGTGGTTCCTCAAATTGATTTAACAATGAAATGTACCTTTACAAAACATACCTTGATCTGATTTAAAACATTTGCAATAAGGAAAAATTCTGTGGTCTCAATTATATGCATGTGAACTTCCTAGAGAAGAAACACTACAAGAAATCTGCAAATGTATAAATAAAGGCAGAATTTGGTGTCTGTGATCTATCTGTACTACATAGTTTTTTTCAGGAATTCATTCATCTTTGCAAATACTCACACAGAAGGCACAATAAATGAGCTATATGTAAAGATTCATACCAAGATATTCAACACCAAGTCTTTCACATGATTCTAAGCGGGCTTTTTTTTTGTGCTTTCATAGCCATAATCACTATGCCACAGTTTGGTAGTTATCCAGAGGTCCTCTGGCTTCACATCACTCTCTTTGATGGCCTTTTGGAGGAGAGATTCACAGCCGTATCTTTTTGCTGTGCCAATATGACGAATGCCACATTTTTGTAATGCATGGACCACAGCATCATGGGAATAGCCACCTTGATGGGAAGTACCTAAATAAACAAAATCAGATATGAATTGTCAGCAGTGAATTATGAGGGACATTTTTTGATTCTTTTTAATTTTTGTTTTCCTTTTTTTGTATATTGTCACAGAACCTTCTTATTCAATTTTAATTTCCTAATAGTAAAGAAACGGGAACTGACAGATCTCTAGGCTGGGAAAATACACAAAGTGCTAGAATGTTGATACTGATCAGAAATAACTCCACCAAAATCAAACATCAACAGCATTTAACTGTAAGGAACTGATTTCAGAAGTCAGGCTAAAGAACATCAAAGACAAAATACATCTTTTATAGGAGAACAACATTTACAGATGAAAATATTAACAATAAGAAATAAAATATAACTTAAAAAGCAATTTACTTTGCAGAAAGCATATCCTGAAACCTTTACTCTGTTGAACTCCCAGTAGCTTCAGGTTATTATTGCATTGTACAACCCCAGACAGGGCCATACCGCAGGTGCGGTTCACATATTGTCAAGCTCAGCAGTAACCAAAACAATGGAATCCTACACAAGAGTTACAGAACAGGCATACAGGGAGTTTCAGTAACAAAGTACTGTAACTTTCATTGTGTAGGTATTCACTAGATGTGTATTTTGCATGTCAAGGGGACGGAAGGAGGAGGAGACTCTGCAGGAAAAGCAACCAGCAGGAGGACTGTCAGATAAAGAACTGGTTGAGAGCAAGGAGGATGATGTTTCTACTTACCCTTTCCTGTTAGTTGTTTCTCCTGCCATGAGCCCCTCACCCATTCAAGCTCAGTCACACACTTCCCACAAACAGTATTTTCTACAGTTTGTTGGAGGAAATGCGCAGTCAGTTCCAGTCAGCTACCAAAGCCACTGTCCAAGATGATGATTAGTACTTAAAGGCCCTAGTGCAACAGTAGTCGGCATGCAAATGGCTACGTCACTGACTTCAGAAGGGCCCTGTACAGTTGTGACAGTTGACAGCAACAGGGTCTTCAGCCACTGCTGAATCTAAATAAAGGACTCCAGGTCAAAGAAGACTAATATAAAGTAAAAATAAGTATCTGCTGTTAACTTTCTCTTTCCCTCCAAACATAATATTTATTTCTACATTACATACATAATTATGAAATTAACAAATGTATATAGCCACCCAGACTGTCAGAAAAAGAAAACAAATGAAAACACAAACAGTTGCCTTAGACTCATCCTCAGAACCTCCCATACCTGAACTGGAGGGAGAACCCCCACAGGAGTCTGCACGACTTTCTCACACATGCCGTAAGAACACATGCAAGAATGAGGAGAACTTACAAAAGTCTTACTTGCATGTAAGGCAAGCCAGGTTCTCCTAAATGCTTATAATTTTTGTTCATTCTTAATCTCAGAAGGAAAGCCAGCGGTACCTCTGTAATCTTGCTCAATACTCCAAGTCATTTAAAATAAGATACAATGTGGTCTGATATCACGCACATACACCTGAGGATCATGACATTCTGCTGATCACAATGGGACAATCCCCTCTTTATGTTTATGACCTACAAAATGTGGAGTATTGAATTCTTGATTTATCTTCATGGATTTTAAAGTGATGAAATTATAATACTATATTCCTACAATTTTGACATGCATATTGTAAGTATTTTACCTTCCAAATGTTTCAAAAGACAAAACTTTAAAACTTCTTCCTCCACAGCCACTAATTATGATTAATAATTGGCTTAATTTGAGTCATTTAGAAATAGATGTCCCTATAACTTGTTTTACATCAAAATAAGTTAAAATAGATCAACTTATGTTTTCAAAATAGCTATTTCAAAATCTTCATGAACATTTAAGAACTTTAAATGAATGCAATGCTACTACATTGCAACTATGGGCAAAGAATATAGATGCAATTATTACATTATTCAGATCCTAAAGGAATTTTATTAAAGAATTATATAACTAGCATAGAAAAATTACTATACTTTTTCATAACAATCCCTTCACTTTTAATAAGCTGGTATTGGTGCCAAATAAATGAGGTTGTAACTATTGTGTCTGTTTCTGGCTGAATGGACATTTCTAAGCACAGAATGAATGGAGTTCATTTAGAGGTCTTGCAAATGGACTCGGACTCTTTTCATGCATAATGGATTTCAGTAAGAACATTTAGGACAAACAACTTTTTTTTTTTTTTAACTTAACCCTTTTAAGTTAAAGGGAGAGTGGGAAAGAAGGAAAATTCAGAATGATTTTGTTACTGCTCCCCATTCAGTGACGGCATGCACACTTGTTTCACAGGAAATAAAGAGACCAAGATCAGTCTGGAGTGAATTATCTCAATTTCTACGCCTAAAAATGAACTACAACAGTCCTGATGCACTAAACAGTAATTAAAAAGTAAGCTTAACAATTATTTAATATTACCACTTTGCAAGCCAACTTAATCATAAACAACAGGTTTCCAAGTTAATTATGCTACTAACATAACAGCTTCTAGACTTTAGAAATCACAGTTTTCTTGTGTTTACTCATGCGATTAAATACGTTACTATTCATAGATGCAGAAGGGTGACAAAAGAAGGTAGAGTAACTTAATTTTTTTTTTTTTTTAAATATATTTTAAATCCAGACTTAACATTATTTGAACACATTAACATTCTTACATGTTTGGGACTACCCTTTGTTCACAGAGATGTAATTCACACCGTACATGTATATTTAAAGACAAAATCCAATCTCGCATTTAAAACTAATATGAACTAGCGCTCTTGCCATCCCCTTACTGTTTCTAAAAATACTGAATTAATATATTTTTATTCTAGAATTCTCTGATAAAAAAATAGGAATTCCTTTTAATAAATGAAATCAAATATAAGTAAGTCTAGAAAAGCTCCCTATTTTTTAGCTAGTATTTTAACTTCTTTTCCTAGGCGAATAGCACTGTTCTCTCACTGATGGAACTAACAAATCTGACAGATCTGAAAATATCTGAGATAATTACATTCCTACAGATTTTGTGAAAATTGGTGGTTGGGAGGGACAAGGATACTGCAGTGGAAATGTGGATAGATCAAAGGACACAAATCCATTTAAAACTAGGCTTAATTTGTTATGTTATTATTTTGTCATGATTACTCATCACTTTTTTGATATCCTGAACACTACTATCATAACTGGGATGAGAAACATGCTCTGGCAATCCATAAAAAGTTCCAAAGATTATTAGGAAGGCAGAATCCTGTTCACAATGCAGTTGCTACAGGGGGAAGGGGGGAATCCCAGTCAGCAACCTCCCCCCAAAAGACAAAATCACCACCACCCCTCCCCTTCTCCAAAATGTAAAACAACTAACAAACCAAAATGCTACTCCCCCTCTCCCAGTTTTATGCACTATCTCAGCTGACTCTCAGCCTCATTAAACTTTCTGTTCTCCTTCACAGAAGCTGTAGAAATACAGTTAGAGATCCAAAGCACCAACAATTTTTCAAACAAGAATCAGGACCTACTTTCTCTCTTCTTTCCCCCTCCTTTTGTGGAGAAGTGTGTCTTCATGTTCTCTGTGAAAGTATTGTTTATCTGAATATATAAAAATGATCTGTGACATGAATACCTTTGGCTACTTGAAATCAATGGAATCACTTAGATTAGAAGAGTTCCTGTTAGTGAAACTGCAGCCAGGATATTTAGAGATCCTATCAGAGATTAACGATCTTCTGACATCAGTACAAAAATGCCCATTCCTTTGCTGATTTTTTTTATCTCCAAGTAATTACTTGAGAAAAGAACTCTCAAAAGCAAAAGCTCAATCCTTGTATCAATGCTTACATACTCATTGTGTATATATATGGTATTGTATACCATAACAGGCTTGAAATACCTTATTCTATTAGTTTTATTTCTATTATGTCAACATTACATCAACATTAGGGCCACAATGCATCTTATGAATATATTAAAGTTTTCCATGCCAAAACAGTTTGATTTCACCGATTACCTTATGAGCACATTTGATGATAAAACATAAAATGTTGCCTATACATAGAGCAAATGAACATATTGGACATTTCAAGGTTTATTGCTAATCCATTCACAAAACCACATGCCTCTATGGAATGGCTCAAGGACAGACAATCCTTACTTGCTGTCCTTGCTTACTGTCTTATTTCCTCTACCTACTTCTGTATTCATCTGATCTTCTGACAAGCTGATTCAGATTGTTAAATGGCCAAAAAAAGCATATAGTTTTAGAATTATTCATGAACCTGAAAAACTCCCCACAGGGGAAAAACCATTGAACTTTGGGCAAGGGATGGGGCAAGCAAAGTTCCCCCTTTAGCAACAGCAGTTAAATAATTTAATATAGTCAGTGTTTTTATTAAAATAAAAAAAATAATTAAAAAAATCACAGTTGTGTTCAAGTCAACCACCAAATGATCAGAAAGACCTTCTCTACAAACTTGTCTCCTGGAGCATTTCTTTCCATTATGTTCCCCAACACCATCCCTAGAGCTGCGCTCAGACAACCACATAATGTCACACTGACTTTCTATAACCACAGCACTAGAACCCAAGTGTTCTTACTGCTATATTTTGGCATAGTTTTTACCTAACAGGGTCAGTTACTCTGCAAATCATATTTAGTATCACATGACAGAAGTATTCATAGCATTCTCTTTTCTTTTTTAGAGTGTAGGACTTTCTTCTGCAGCAGGTGAAATTAAAGTCAAGCTCGTTATGAAGCTATTATACTCTACAATTTTCATAATGCAACTACAGAGTATTTCAAGTTACGGGACTCAAATTTAATCACAATCACTTTTATAAAATAACTTGGACATTTCACTCAAAGTCCAAGAGTGGCACCTAATGTAAATATAAATGGAGCAGCTGACCTTGCAGGAACGGAACCTATAGAGAAGATGGGCTTCTAGAAGAACTGGTAGGACAATGCCAACTGTAACAGAAAGGCACTGAGCAGACTTGTATTATATAACCAGTGCTTTGGTCAGAACTAAAGCAGCACACAT